ACATACTAGTGCCTATGATTGCAAGACGTCAACTAACTTTGGTTAGATCCATTGTGAAATGACGAACGCAATCTGAGATTCTTATAAACCAAATTTATTTAAGGGAAAACAAAATCAAAATACAACTCAGTTTAAAAGAAATACTAAATCTGTAAAAAATTGCATAGAGTATCAATGCATGGTTAATGTACATACAACAGATACAAGGTTTTAAGTTGAACAAAAACTCACAATCTCCATTTATAAAAAATCTTATTAAAAGAACACTATTGCAGTCCCGGTGAATAAAAACGCCCCTTGCCCCATTTTTAGATTAATTAACCCCCCCCCCCCATCATTGTTCCCATTTCATCATTCCCATTAGTATATACAAATATATTTATTGTTCACAATACATCACTGAGATAGTATACACTATATTTATCATGCAATACATCACATTGTTTAAAATACATCATTGAGTTAGTATACACTACATTTATCATGCAATACATCACATTGTTCACAATACATCATTGAGTTATTTTACACTACACTTATCATGCAATACATCACATTGTTCACAATACATCACTGAGTTAGTATACACTATATTTATCATGCAATAAATCCCATTGTTCACATTACATCATTGAGTTAGTATACACTATATTTATCATGCAATACATCACATTGTTCACAATACATCACTGAGTTAGTATACACTACATTTATCATGCAATACATCACATTGTTCACAATACATCACTGAGTTAGTACACACTATATTTATCATGCAATACATCACATTGTTCACAATACATCATGAGTTAGTACACATATATTTAGCATGCAATACATCACATTGTTCACAATACATCACTGAGTTATTTTACACTACATTTATCATGCAATACATCACATTGTTCAAAATACATCATTGAGTTAGTATACACTATATTTAGCATGCAATACATCACATTGTTCTCAATACATCAGAGTTATTTTACACTACATTTATTATGCAATACATCACATTGTTCACAATACATCACTGAGTTAGTATAAACTATATTTATCATGCAATATATCACATTGTTCACAATACATAACTCATTGTTCACAATACATCACTGAGTTAGTATAAACTATATTTATCATGCAATATATCACATTGTTCACAATACATCACTGAGTTATTTTACACTACATTTATCATGCAATACATCATATTGTTCAAAATACATCATTGAGTTAGTTTACACTATATTTAGCATGCAATACATCACATTGTTCACAGTACATCACCGAGTTAGTTTACACTATATTTATCATGCAATACATCAAATTGTTCACAATACATCACTGAGTTATTTTACACTACATTTATCATGCAATACATCACATTGTTCACAATACATCAAGTTATTATACACTATATTTATCATGCAATACATCACATTGTTCACAATACATCACTGAGTTAGTTTACACTACACTTATCATGCAATACATCACATTGTTCACAATACATCACTGAGTTAGTTTACACTACATTTAGCATGCAATACATCACATTGTTCACAATACATCACTGAATTAGTACCACATATA